AGTCCCAGGATCGAGTCCTGCATCAGGCTCCCTGCTCGGGCAAGGAGCCTGCTTCTCCCTCTGACCCTCCCCCCTCTCATGTACTCTCTCTCTCTCATTCTCGCTCTCTCAAATAAATAAATAAATCTTAAAAAAAAAATGTCAGTGGTGCCAAGACGGTTGAGAAAATGCCTTATGTTATTGTCCTAGCAGTGAACAAACCCTCTGCCCTTCAGTTTCCTCATAACTACCACAAAAAGAACAGTAACCAAAGCAGCAGCAAGAACAGAGCCTTCTCTACTATGTAGCAATGATATAGCGTCAATCACTCTATGAGATAGGTCTGATGTGCCCATTTTACAGGTAAGGAAATTGAGGCTGAGGCAAGTGAAGGTCCAGAGCTTGTTTATGGCAGAGAAGAGACCAACACTTAGGCCTGCATGACCCCAAAGCGGCCCTCTCCTTTCTCCCTGAGACACTGCAGACCCCTCTCCAAACCTCCCAGGGGTGTGGGAAATGGGAAGCCTTGTTGCAAAGCACAGTGACACAAATGTAGGGCATCACTCTTCTCTTCCTCCTGGGGGAGCAGAGTGGCAGGACGGGGACAAGGGGAGATACTCACAGGATCCTTGAAGCTGGCCCCCAGGTGCTCCATGGCATAGTAGAGCTGTCTCTTCTCCCCCAAGGATCGAAGGATGAAGCGCTGGATGTCCTGAGGCGGGGTGGGAGCAGGGAGAAAGGGGTGGAACGAGGAGAAGTAGAGTGGGGCAGGGAAGTTAAGGCTGGAGGAGAGCATGGCAGCCCCTGGTTCTAGGGGACAGCCTGCATGCTCCTAAACCCTTCCCTGTGCCTTCTTGGTCAACAGTTTCGGGGCATCTGGGCTCAAGGGGTGGGGGGGGTAGGGGGGCGGGGGGGAGGTTATACGCATATGCCTGTGGCACAGGAGGGCACACAAGGGGGGTGAGGTGAAGGCAAGGGGGGATGGGCTGCCACTTGGACTCAGAAAGTGGAGTCTGCAGTGGGGAGCAGGGAGGGGAGACAAGTCAGATGCTGGACTTGGAGTTGCCTGTGGTGACTAAAAGGGGGTACAGAGTCCAGGTTACTTCTCAGGTCTATTTGATTTAGGGTAAGTATGGAGCAGAGGGTTACCTCTCTCGGCCCGAGGCCAGGTCTCGGCTCTTCCAGCTGGGCCTGGTACTCGTTTAGAGCCTTCTTGGCAGCCTCATCCTCCGGGTAGAAGAGCAGAACACTCAGGACATTCTCCATAGCCTGGGACAGATCCCCCACTGGAGACAGAGTAATAGGGCGGGGTGGGGCACGGAGACTGAGCAGGACAGTGGTCCCTGGGCAGAGCCAGAGAAGGTGGTCTCCCGGTGCCAAACAACTCCAAAGCCCCCATCCCACCTGGCAGGCACACTCATCCATTGCTTCTTTCCAAAGCTTCCTCAAACATACCTGAGCTGGATAGGCAGAATTCAGAGGGGAGGAAGAGAGAAGGGAGTTAAAGGAAGGTGAGAAGCAGCAAGAGCAGAAGGAGCCCTGGGACCCATCTCCTGAGCTTTCCACAAAGGCACCAAAGGAGAGCAAATGAGAGTCCTCCTGACCAACTACAGATCCAGAGACAGACGGGAGGGATGGAGAGATGGGGCTCAGGATACCATCAGAGACAAACCTTCACTTCCCCTGTTTCCAATCCCCGTCACCCCCAGCGCCCAGACTTCCCCAACTGACCCTGAGCGTGGGCCTCGTGAAGCCGCCTCAGCTGGCTGGGAAGGAAGTCAGGGACAGGGAAACTGCGTCCAGGACGCGTGGCCGTGTCCCCCACACAGCGCTGCCGGCACTGCAGGACCCGAATCCAGTGCCCTGCAGACAACACACGTCACCCATTGAGCTTGTGACGCTCCTCTCTGTGGGGCCGGGAATCCCCAGCACCTTACCTGCAATGGTCTCATAGAGGCCCCCCTGGCTCCCGGCCCCTTCCTCCTCCTCTTCCTCCCTCTGCTGCTCCTCGGGCCCCTCACAGCCAGCCCGGCAGCTCTCCATCTGGGCCAGGCTCTCCTGCAGGGCCTCCTCTAGCCTGGGCAGTGCCAGTTCTGCCTCCTGGCGCCCCAGTAGCTCCAGGCCATCGTCATAGGCTGCCTGTGGGGGAGGGGAGCGGGCAGTCACCTGAGCTCCTGGAAGCTGGGTGCCAGACAAGATTGGGAGGCAGAAAGAAGGGGAGGGGTGTTGGTCTCATCTGGGGTGTGGACTCCAGGTCCCACTTCACCTTGGGGGAATATAGGGTGGGCATCGGGATCAGAATGGTCGAACAAGGGACTTTAGTGATCCTCGGGAAGAAAAACCAAGCCCCAGAGAGGGACTCTCCATCCAGGCTTACTGAGGACAGTACCCAGGTCTCCTGATGCCTGAGCCACACAGGTCCCAGTCCAGTGAGCCCTGTGTATCTGGCCAAGGGGTCTCACCCAATGTGGCGGTGTCTCCAGGTCCCGGAAGCTCTGGGGCCGCACCCGAGACATGCGTCTGTACTTAGCCATGTCCTCCCGCATCTGCAAGTGTGTTGGGTTTGCTACAAAGAAGGTGTGTGCTGCCGCAGCTGCCAAGTCCAGCTTCTTCAGCTGAGAAGCACGAAGATGAGGGAGTCAGTGCCCTCAGGTAGGGGTGTTGGACCTCTGCCGACTCACTGGCCTCCCCACCCTCCGCCACACACACACCTGGAACTGCGCCAGAGCTTTCTGGAAGACTTGTCAGTCAGAACTGCCCACTTCCCAACCTCCAGCGCCCCTAGAAACCAGTATGCCGGGGGAACTCAGAGAAGAGGGGTCTGGAGACTTTGGAGTGGGTGCGGAATTGGTAGAGGGACCTCAGGGCCTCCGTTTGGAAGACAAGGTGCAAGTGATGGCTTAAGTAAGGTGGGAAGTGGGGGAGACCTGAGCCACCAGCAAAACCCGCAGGTCTCTAGGACCCTGGGCTGAGGTGTGTGTGACCAGCCCCCCGCCCCCCCAGCCACGTAGGCAATAGCTACTGGTAGCTGCGCAGCGTCCACTGCCTGCCCGCCACATGCCCGGCCTCTAGACTCCTTAGCCTTGACCCTGCCCCGCAAAGGCTCACACTCAACCCCCCCACCCCCCGTGCTTCCTGTGCAGCGACGGGCTTCCCCCCATCCGCTCCGCTTCACTATCATCCCACGTAGGTCTCAGTAAGACCTCTAACGTTTCAGGCCCCTTCCCTCCATCCCCGATCTCCTTCCACCCCGCCTCAGGAACCCATCCAGCCCCGCTCCAGCTTTGCTCCCACTCTCCCTTAGGCTGTCCCTCGGCGACCTCAATGGGTATTTGGCGCGGTTTGGATGGGACCGACTCAAAAGGAGAGGTCCGTCGACCCCCCCCGAGCCCCCCCCCCGCCCGGAGTCCCGGGCGCCGGCATTCCGCCCTCTCCCGGCGAGCTCCAAGTAGCGGCGCAGCGTGGGTCGGGGCGGGACCCCCAAAGGGGCCTGGGCGGCTCCCGCACCTGGTAATAGGCCCTCTGCAGGTAGTTGTAGGGCTCCCGGCGGCGGAAGGCGTCCCGCAGCGCGCTCCCCACGCGGAGCCGCGCCGCGCCCCCGGGGCCCAGCCTCTGCGCCCCGCACTGGGTCAGGCACTCGGCCCGGCGGAGCGCCGCGCGGAGCAGCAGCCGCTCCCAGGCCCCCCGCGCCGGGCCGGGCCCGGAGTCAGGCCCCGGGGCGTCAAGCAGCACCGCGGGGAGCGCGGCCCCCGGCTCGGCCGCACAGCGCGCCCCGCAGTCCTGGCGCGCGCGGCCCAGCGCCGCCTGGCTCCGCAGCGCCTCCCGCAGCAGCGCCACGGCCGGCGCCCAAGCCCCGGCCGCGTAGGCGCGCAGCCCGTCGGCGTAGAGCAAGTCGGGGGCCTGCGGGGGCGCCCCCGGGGACAGCGGGGCCAGGCCGGGGGGCTCGGGGGACCCCGGCGGGGGCAGCAGCAGCAGCAGCAGCAGCAACCGGAGGAGCCGGAGCATGGTGCCAGGGGCGCCGGCCGGCTGCCGAAGCGGAATGCGGGAGCCGAGAGGGAGAGAGAGAGAGAGAGGGAAGGGGGAAGGGAGAGGGAGGGGAAAGGAAGGAGAGATGGAGAGGAGGGAGGACAGGAAGAGAGAAGGAATGAGCGGGGGGCCAAGGAGAGCCGGTGCGGCCCAGGCTCAACCCTGGGAGAGGCCAATATGAGAGCCAGAGACGTCGGGAAGCCTGGCAGAAAGTGGAGACAGCAGTCTTTAAGACGAGGGACGGTGTGGGACGACAAACAGGCCCTGAAGAGCAGATGGCAAACGGCTGGCACTGGAGCGGGACTGGTGCTTTGGAAAACAGCATGGGAAGCCTCTTCGGACCCTTGACTCAAACCCCTGAGGCCCCCAGCCTCAGAGTAACTACTGGAGCTGTGTTCCCCTCCGCTCTGTGCCTCCCCCACCCCCACTCTTGGGACCAGGACAAGGAGAGTGGATGCCTCCCACACACCTACCCACACCCACTTTTGGAAAATGAGCCTTAGAATGCAGCATGGGATGCGGGCCTGTGACACCAACTCAGGCCCAAATCCTTTCCTGCCCAGAAAGTGAGGCCTGGGTGGATTTGGGGGAAGGAGAGTTGGGGCATGGCACATGGAATCACACTCTGAAACTACTTCCACAAATCCAGACAGAGATCCTTCACACCCCAAAGCGGCAAACTCGATTGTCTCCCCATGCCCATGCCCAGCACAAGATGCTTTTTTTTTTTTTTTTTTTGTGAGTAAAGCGACAGAAGTTTATTAATCAAGGATACAGAAAAAGCTCTCAGGAATGAGAGAGGTCCCGACAGGGTTGCCAAAAGATGCTCTTACAAGCCTGTCCCTCTGTATGTCTTCATGTTTGAGTTTGTCTTTTTCCACGTGTATTTCTGGGCCTCTGGTCACTGCCCCCGCTCTATTTTGTCCTCTATGAGCCTTTCCACCCCCGAGCCTCCCACCATACCCTCTGCCACCCGAGCACACAGGACACCGTGGTTTCCATGGTAACACTTCAGGCTTTAATATGTTTTGCTAAGGGTGATGGAAGGTGAGTAGGGCATCTGGTCATTGAGATGGGAGACAGCAGGGGGCTCCAGGCCCCAGATCCAGTGCCCACCTCCACGGAGTCTGGAGGCAGCTGCCCTAGGCTCAGGGCCAGAACTGGTGTTACTCAGGGCCCCTCCCCTGAGTCCCGCCGGCCCACTTGGGCTCACAGGGTCAGCTGGGGGAAAATGGGGTTACCTGGGCCCCAGGATCCTCCCCAAGGTCTTGCACTCCCCTCACCTCCTGTCAGGGAGCAGCGTCTCCCTGCACTTAGCCCCAAAGGAAGTCCAACGGCTCTGCTGTCAGGGGACCCAAGGGAGAGCCTGCGGGGTGAGAGGCCCAGGGGCCTGGGCCGGCGAGGAGAGGGCCCTGGCGAAGCAGTCGGAGAAGGCAGAGGTGTCTCATCAATGAAGGTGGTGATCTCTTCCCGGAAGAAGCCAGGACCCCGTGGGGGTCCCCCACCTGACCCCAACATCCCCCCCTCCAAGAACTGGCGAAGGCTGGCCAGCCCCCCACCTTCAGCTTCCTCCTCATCCTCCTCATCCTCCAGCCTTTGTCTTCGTCCCAGGTACTCAGGAGGGCCCCCCAGGGCTCGGCTCTGGGCAGGGAGGACCCGGATGTCATCAGAGGATGACCACTTATGCAGGATGGAGCCTGGTGCCCGAGGAGTAGAGAAGATGTTGGTCTCATCGTGGGACAGACGGCGGGACAGAGGGACCTGGGGAGAGGAGCCGGTAGACCCAGAGGTGCTATGGGGACCAAGCAGGGGTAGAAGCAGGAACCAAAGTAGGGACTCGGTAAGAAGGCCCCACCCCCTTAAACTTTTGCAAAACATCCTCTGATGGGCAAACCTGGTTCTGAGAGGTCTGAAGGGGAGCCTCTCTTGCCACACGTTTCTTTCACCTACCCCTTAGGTGCCCTGCAGGCCAGGGCTAGGGAGTGGGGAGTCGGGATGGTCAGCAGAGACCGGAGACAGGTAGTAAGGGGGTACCCAGAACAGGAGGTGCACTCCCTAGCCTCATACCTGTAAGTAGTGGACCCTCTCAAGAGGGGGAAAGAGCATGTGCCTTCCAGGCAGCAGCTTAACCTGGGAGGGGTCCCTGCCCCCTGGTCCTGTGGTACCATTGGCATCAAAGCGCACTTTGCACACTCGGCCATCTGCATAGTCATCACAGCCCCCATCTAGGAGAGAAGAGGGGCAGGGTCGTTACAGACAGGGAATGCCCACTCCCCTCCCCACCCCACCCCCCCTTAAAACCTCCTGCCCCCCCTTTTTTTAAGATTTCATTTATTTATTTGAGAGAGAGAATGAGATAGAGAGAGAGAGCATGAGAGGGGGGAGGGTCAGAGAGCGAGGCAGGCTCCCCGCCGAGCAGGGAGCCCGATGCGGGACTCGATCCCGGGACTCGATCCCGGGACTCGATCCCGGGACTCGATCCCGGGACTCCAGGATCATGACCTGAGCCGGAGGCAGTGGCTTAACCAACTGAGCCACCCAGGCGCCCCAACCTCCTGCCCCCTTTATAAGCTCCTGGGAGAATCCTGTTCCCACGACTCTGTAAGCTCCAAGAGGAAAAGCAAGAGTGTCTAACGTCTGTTGCATTCATTGCTAAGTCCCTAGTGCTTCATACATATAGACATGTTTATTGAAACAGTTGCAACCCCACCCCAAGAACTGTCCCTATAGCTGGGGGCCTCTCTCAGGGAGCTTAGCGTCCCGTCCCCTTACTTCCACAGCCCTCCTTTAGCGGTTGCGTTAGGACTCTGGACTGCTTCTCAGGCACTCGGCCTGGAGAGTGGAGGCAGAGCTGGGTAGTGTGGGCTTCCAGAGGGAAGCCGCCGCCGGGTGGAGGGAGCCCTCGGTGCAGAAGGAAGCGATGGGTGTACATCGGGGTGCGGGATTAGGGAAAGGGAGTCAGCCCAGAGGCGGCGCCGGTTCCGTCCAGCAGGGGGCACTCCAGGGCAGCCCGTCCCCACACAGGGAAGGGCCGGCAGAAAAGGGAGCCGAAGCCCGGAAAAGCCAAAGCCCAGTCCCTCCTCTGACCGTCATCGCCTTCCTCCTCGGACATGATGGCCACGCACTGCTCCCACACCGTGCGCACGTCGGCCCGGTAGCGCTCGCAGGACCAGATGAAGGAGGGCAGCAGCAGCGTCTGTGCCATGGAGCACCACAGCACAGCCAGCACCATCCACGGCGGGGCCGAGTCCGACTTAAGGGAGAAGAAGCTCACCACCTAGCGGGAGGACGGGGAATGGCGCGGGGTCACGACCCAGCGCCCAGAGGTCCCCCTGGGCCCCGGATCCAGGGTTGTAGTGCCGTGGGTGGGCAAAAAGGAAGGCCTGGCCCAGTTCACAGAGGCTCAGGACAGAGGCAAAGTCGGAGGTGCAGATGGGACAAACGGAGGGCAAGGGCGTGATTCAGAGGAAGGTCGGGGGCAAGGACTGGAGACAAAGCCCTGAGGTCCAGAGGGACAGAAGCAGACGGTACAGAAAAGTTGAACACAGAGAGAAATTCGGGAATCGGGACTAGATGGGGATGCAAAAAGCGGGGGTGGTGGGGCGAGCTCTCTGGGCTTTCCACCGGAGTGCTCAGAGACCCTGTGGTATATATCCCGAGAGTGTTAGGGAATGGAGACTGGAGCTGGGCTGCTGGATGGTGGGGCTGGGAGCCGAAGCGTAGAGCAGCGGGATAGATGGTGGAGCTGGAGGATGGGTGGTGGAGTTGAGTAGTAGAAACTGGAAAACAGACAACGAGGCTGGGGGTAATGGGAACGAGGGGATGGATGATGGAGGGGGGGCTCACAGATGTAGCAGGGGTGGGGGCAGAAGAGAGGAAGGTGGATGGCAGAGTGCAGAGCTGCTGTATGGCGGATGGACTTGGAGGTCAGGTGATTGTGCTGGGGCCTGGATATTGGGGAAAGCAGGCGGGGGACCCCAATCTCACCAAGATGGGCACCCCTGTGAGTGAGTCATAGAGAAAGACGATGGCGCTGACCAAGTTGGTGACCTGCAGGGATGTCTTGGCCGACTCGGAGCCGTCCAGCGAGGACCGCCGCTTCCCTCTGGCATCCTCCACCACAATGGCTGGCACCTCAAAGGCTGGCCGGGTACCCAAGCCCCCTGGCCCACCCCCCTTGGCCCCGCCCCCCACCCCCGCTCGCCAAGCCAGCCGAGCCCTCCGGGGCCGGGCCCACAACGTCTGGTAGAAGGTGATGGCCACACAGACCAGCCCCATGACAATGCCCCCAAGTAGCAAGAGGCTGAAGCAGACACCAAAGCCCAGGCCAATCTTGGAGACTATGAACTGGCAGCCGCGGGCGTAGTAGCGCTCGCCATTGTTGTGCCAGCCAATGGAGGGCAGCGTAGAGAGGATGAAGCTGACCATCCAGATGCCCATGACGGCGTGCAGTGCCTGCTTCTTGGCGTTGCTGAGACGGTAGTTGACAGGCCAACGCACCATCCACATGCGATGGTAGGAGAGGGAGGCGACTGTGAAGCAGGTGGCCAGGGCCAGTGTGTAGTAGGTGGACACAAACACCTTGCAGATGCTCTCATTCCAGTCATAGTCGGAAGAGGCCTGGCGCCGGAGCTGCACCACGGCGAAGGTGGTGAGGGGCACGGCCGCCATGAGTATGTGCGTGCCCGCCAGGAAGCAGAGCAGTAACTCCAGCGGCTTGTGCTTCTGCTGCTTGGCCGAGATGCTGAGGATGATCCAGGCATTGGCCAGCAGGGCCAGGAGGCCACAGGCCAGCCAAGACAATGCGTTTGAGCGCAGGGAGGCCTCCTCTGCCCCTGCCCCTCCCCGAGCCATCCTATATCCTCGGCCCCCCCACCCCCCTTGAACTCCTGGGGGTGGGGGCTAGGTCTCACCCAGGAGCCCCACTCACACACACACCCATGATGCGCCCAATCTCTGCCCTGTGGGGGAGCAGGCCGCCCAGCGGCCTACCCTACTGCTCAGCATTGCATGACTGACCCAGCTAAGGTGCGGTGTGGAGGGCAGGGGAGGAGACTGAGGGTCAGCAGAGGTGGTCCTCAGCCTCCATATTGGGTGGGAACCTTCCCGAAGTATCCCTGTGGTTGATGGGGGAGGCAAGCAGACTGCTTTCCCATCTATGAGGTTGGCTGAGGAGCTCTGGTCCCCATGCCAGGACTTCCGGGTCTCTTCTTCCTCTGGTTCTTGACCAGTCAGGGATCTTCTGGGTGCCCCAAGGGGTGTGTGGGGGGGAGAGGCTCAGCCACCTGGACAAACTGCAAGGGAGAAATGACATGTGGGAGGGGGAGGGCAAAAGGTAGTGCCTAGGCTGTTCTCCAACTGACTTCTCACACCCCCTTCTCTTGAAACTATAGAAATAACTGACTACTAGGGGTCATGGGGTCATTCAGAACATTCTCTCGCCTTAAATCAGATGGCCAGTCACACAGCCCACACAGCTAGGAGCCCTGCTTTCCTGGCTGTCAGGAAAGAAGGTGTTCTGACCTCCTGTCTCCTATCCCTTTCAGCCCTTTTACCTCCCTCTGCCATTCCCAGGTCCCTTCTTCTTATGTGCCCTGCTCAGTACTATTCGATCCCTAGCTTCATGTCCCTGAATCTCTCTTCAGAGCTACTGCTGCCAGGTGCACGGCTTGTTTCTTTTTTGAGGGTTCACGGTAAACTGGGATATGTATGCTATCTCAGCTCCTCGCCAGAGTTCCGGCTCCTGGGCCCAGGGGTCTTGGTGCTTCAGCCCCATTTCCCCAAGCCCGTGTGATCACCCTCTAGCTCACCAGGGATCTGGGAAGATGGGAGAAAGGAGGCTGGGACCAAGGGGAGGGGGGGGGCTAGGGAACCCGAAGGCGGGGAAACCGCTGACATCAGAAGCATCCAGAAATGGAAAGATGGGGAACTAGGGGGAAGGAGGAGAGTTTGAGCAGAAGAGAAAGAAAGAGGGGGCAAAGTGATAGTATCTGAAAATAGAAGGAAACCCCCAGAGACCCCTGGAGAGGAGGCTTGAGAGGGAAGAGAGGTAGTGTGGAAGGAGGGAGCAGGAAACAGGGAGGCTGAGAAGAAAAGCCCCATGTTCAATAAGGTGCTGACTCCCCCTGGTGGACCTCCACTATTTCCTCCCCTGCCCTAGCCTCAGTTTCCCTCTGATGGGAAGGCGGGTAGTCCTGAATTTCAAGAAGGTGAGCTTCAGCGAGCCCTGGGGAGGGGGCTAAGAGGAAATCAGGGGAAGCCCTGAACGGAGTGGAGGCAAGAAGGATGAGCTAACGGCTTTGGGGGGGGGGGGAAACGGGTAAAAATGGGGCACAGCAGTGAGAGGGTCTACTTGCTGTGGAAGAACCTCAGATCCTTGCCCTCCCTGAGAGGTCCTAGTCCACCCCCCACCTTTGTTCCCTCCGGAGCCCAGTACACCCTAGTTGCCATGGCAATGGCCAGCCAGAGGGAGGTGGAAGGAATTGGTCAGAAGCGCCCCCCCCACTACTCTCCCCTACAGCCTTGTACCCCTTCCCACCTACCCCCACCCAGGCCCAGCGGGTGGGCTGTGGAAGAAAGAGATGGGGAGTCAGAGAGGGAGGGAGGCAGGAAGGATGTGAAGGACAGAGAGGAGGTGAAGGACAGAGAAAGATCAGAGGAAGGTGGGAGAGGGGATCTGGGGGACTCCACCGCGGACAGGGGTCCCTCGCCCTTCGGGGTGAAGGGGTAAGGTCAGGCGGCTCCTCCCTCCCGCCACCCACCGTGTTCTCCGGGGCAGTGACAGCAGGTGGCTGGGGAGGAGGGGCCGGCCGGAGGGGAGAGGAGGCGGCTGGGGGGGGGAGGGGGGAGGCGGAGAGGGGGCCGCATGGGGGACAGGGCCGGGGTCGTCTTACCTCTGGCTGCGCCCGGCACTGCCATGGAGACCGCACTCCCGACGCCGCTCGCCCGGGCTCCCGCCGCCTGCCGGCTCCAGCTCGCCCGCCCTCCTCCTTCCCTCCCTCCTTCCCTCCGGGCCTCCCTCCCCCCCACCCTCGGTCCCAGCCTCCCGGGCTCGGCCCGCCGCTCACTGAGTCTCTGCCCCCCACCCCAGGTCTGTGGGAGCCCCCGTCTCCTGGAGGCGCGCCGCCCGTGAGCCCCGGGTCAGGGGCCGGCCGGGAGCGGCTCCGGGTGGGGGGGGGGGGGGGGGGGGGGGGGGGGGGGGGGGAACTGGACGGCGGCGCCTGGGGGGGGGGGGGGGGGGGGGGGGGCCGGCGGGGGGGGGGCGAGAAACCAACCGGGGAACCGGCTTCATTGGTGAGACGGTTCGTGTCCTGCCCCCACCCCACCCCGGTTTTCCACACGAACACCAGCTCAGAGAGGCAGCTGGTGGTGTTCGGGGAGGAGGAAGCGTGTGTCACTGTGTGTATCCGCGAGGGCTGCGCCCCGCCCGGGGGTGCAGCTCAGACGGGCAAGTGCTGGAGGTTGTGCTGAAGCTAGGACTTCTGGGGGGTGGGGGGAACACAGGTCTCAATTCACCCCCCCCACACACACACACATGTCGCTTCCTCCTCCTGGAACACAAACTCACACTTGTGTTGGGGGTGCAGCTCAGACCGGCAAGTGCTGGAGGTTGTGCTGAAGCTAGGGCTTCTGGGGGGTGGGGGGGACACAGGTCTCAATGCACCCCCCCCACACACACATATCGCTTCCTCCTCCTGGAACACAAACTCACACTTGTGTTGGGGATGCACAAAATTGGCAGGCACGCATTACAGTTTCTCTTGGTCCTTTCTCTCTCCCGCACACATGCGTGTGTAGAGCACACACAACCCTGCAGCCTCTCCCTCGGTACAGCTCCAGCGCAGGATTACGAAGTCTGGGGCTCCTGCACGCCAGGGCCCTGTGGGCTGGGCAGGTAGGTAATCAGCCTCCAAAGAATCCCCCCTCCCCCCCGCCAGGGAAACTTCATCTCCTTCCCCTGGCAAGCCTGGCAACCTCTCCTCTGGGTCTGATCCAGAAGATCCAGGTCCCCAGAGAAGAGTCTGTCTGTCTGCCTGTCTGTCACATACACACACGGACACACGAAGAAGAGCATCTTCTTTACAGTAAGTATATTGTATTTTTCTGTCAGCTCAGGGACGCAGGGGCAGGAGTGGGCAGGAATAGCAAGCAAGCAGTGGGGAGCCCTCCTGGAAGGGGCAAGCTGGAAAGAGGAGACTAGGGAGAGGGGGTAGGGACTGAGACAGGTGGTGAGAAAGGGAAGGAAGGAGAGGCAGAGGAGGCTGGGGATCCTGAGAGAAATGGATCAAGAAGAGGAGGAAGAAGACTACTTGTAACCCCAATTTTCTTGTATCCTGGATGGTGTGGGGGGGGGCTGAAGGAAAGTACAGGGCAGGGGGCCTGAAGCGCGGCTCTGTCAGCCTTCACAAGACGTCCCCTCAGAGGGTTCCCTCTCCAGCCATCTCCCCAGCCCCTCCCCCCGGCAAAGCTCACCTTCCAAAAGGTTCTGCAACAGGGTGAGTGGTAGGTCACTGGGCACTCTCTCCCACAGGGCCCATGCTCCCAGCCTGTGCTCTGATTAGGAGGACTGACAGCTTTGTCCTCTGGCAACAGGCTTCTGTCCGTGTTTCTGAACTCTCTGAGGCAGGCCCTGCCTGGGGTGGTGTGCTCTTATGAATCCAGAGGTGGGTCCTGGACAGCAGTGACTAATCAGCTACAGAGACCCGCGTGGTACTTGTCTCTGTGTTCAGGGTACGGCCCTGGAACTAGGCTTGAGGAGACCTGGGCTAGTCCTCTGGCACTGACTAGCTGTGTGACTTGGGCAATCAGCTGACCTCTCTGAGTTCCATTTCTGGCCTATAAATTGGAGATGCTAATCTTGGTCCTGACACTACTAAGCTCTGTAAGATCTTCTTAAGGTTTAAACAGACAAAGGATGTGAAACTGGCTCATAAACTGACACGTACTGCTTGGATAAGGAATCATGTCTGTGCACAAGTGTGCGCTCTGTACATGGGTGTGGGTCCAGGGTTGCCTGTTTGTGCACAGGTCACGATGTGAGTCTGTGTCCTGCCAACTCAGAGTGAGATGCAGGCCAAATGGAGCCATGGAGGCAGCTGAGTCACGAGCCTTTGGATCTGGATTTACCCTCCTCTGGCTGTGTGATCTTGGGCTGGTCCCTGCCTCCTCTGGTCCCAAGGTCCCATCCAGTAAAATGACAGTCCTGTGCTTCATGCTTCAGACACCCAGCCTTGCCCTCCAAGCCAGGCAGGGCTGGTCCCACGTGATTCCCCAGGGACCAGTGGGCCATGGGGGAGAGAGCTAGGAAGAAATCATCGATAGGGTTAGGCTTGATGCAAAGGAAATGGGGAAGAAATGCTGTAAGCCTCTGCAAGAGGAGGACCAAGGGCCAAGTGTGGACAAAGGAGAGCAGGAGTGGGCCGGAAGTGTTGGGGTCTTCTACATTCATCTGGTCCGAAGGCCCAGGAGCCCAGGAGGAAAGGCAGGGGAAAGACTGCTGGGGAGGCAGCAAGCCGGAAACTCCCCTGGCCCTGCGCCTCAAATGAGATTGCATGTCTTCTGGAGCCCGCTGGAGGAAGAAGGAAGAGCAAGTTTATTCTTTTCCAAACTCCTTTGCATCCTCGAAGCTCCATGTCTCCCAGTCGGCGCTCTCCCTTCTTGTGTAGTGGCGGCCTCTGGGCCCCAGCTGCAGGGTGGTATCCAGAAGTATTCCAGGCCTGCTGCCGCCTCGCCTCTGCTCTCCACCCCCTTCCTGCTTCCTACCTCCTCAGCCACCCCTTTGCACCCTTCTTTGCCCTCCACCACCTCCCTTGAGACCCCATTTTTCTCACCTCCATCCCGCCTCCCTTCCCTCTCTTCTCCCACCCCCCCACCCCTACTCGCCACCCTCCTCTTCCCCTTCCCACTCTCTGCCCCCCCAACCCCCCCCACCCCCACCAGTTCCTTACTGGGAGCACTGGCAGGTCTTCTTCTCACTGAGGAGTCTCTTGATCTGAGACATCCGCTCTGCCTGGCGCTGTCCAGGAAGAAGGAGGGGAGTCGTGAGGGTCCCAGGTCTCCAGAAGGGAGGTGCCCCTTGGAGGGGGCAGTGGGGAGAGCCGGGAGAGGAGAAGCAGTCACTGTGGCTGAGGCCATCTGTCCCAGAATTAACTCTTTGCTCTTTCCAGTCTCTCCCTCTGCGTGGGGCCTGGGACAGGGCCCAGTCTGCTGTGAGGGAACGGGGTGGGCGGGCAGAGAGCCTGAGCAGAAGCAGCTCACATATACAGAATACCTTTGTTGCTCTACCAGCCCCAGGGGCTCGGATGCCCTGTGGGGAGTGAAAGGGGGGGTCTGGGGCGGCTCACTCACCCTGCGGTGCCAGCATTTAACACAGCAGAAGATGCAGAGCCCAATGAAAAGCAGAAGGCCTAAGATCCCGCCCAGCACAATGGCCAAGAGCTTTGGCCAGGCCTTGGTGAACACTGGGGACAAAACTGCAAGCAAGAGAGAGAGAGATGTTTCAGCTCACTGCCCTCTGTCAGGGTGCCGGGCGTTCTGGAGGGCCCCAGGAAGGCCTCGCTGCCCAGCTACACTTGGGGCTCAGCCTTGGGCCGGGAGAGCAGGGCAGGGTGCACAGGGCTCTCACAGGCCGCCAGGGCTGAACGGGAAAGGCTGGGGCAGGGGTTTTAAGGTTTAGAGACTACAGGGCACTCCGGGGAACTGGAAGCAGCGGTTTCAGGCTGTGCACAGGGCACACCTGTGTGTGTGTGTGTGTGTGTGTGTGTGTGTGTGTGTGTGTGTCCAGGTTCTGAAAGGAGCCAAGAGAGGCGGCTCTTGGTCAGATAGGCTCCATTCCTGGACGATAGACCTCAAGGAGGTGGTAACTTGTGGGGTTACAGGTAGGAACCACACCTCGCCTTACGTCATTCCCCGTGCGTGTCCAGGCAGCAGGAGAATAACCCACCCCTCTCAGAGGAACTGGGAGGCTGGGACTCTGGGTGGTCTCCTCCAACCCGGGGAAGGTCCCACAGCTGAAGAGGGAGGGCCCTGGGGTTAGGCCATGGAACCTGGATCCTCACTCACCCTCGACCTTGGAGGCCAGCAGGACTTTGTCCTTGTCACTCAGTAGACACTGCCATGTTCCCCTCTCAGGGTCCACCACCGATACCAGCTTCTGCTTCTTCGAGACTTTGGCAGCCCGCTCTTCCAGGTTCAAGCTCAGAGTCAGCTCAGGGGAGGTGGGTCCTAGCACCTCGCAGGTCAAATTGTTCTGAGACTTAGTCACTGCAGAGGGATAAGAACCTGAGGCTGGGAGCCTGGATCTCTGAGCTCCTGGCACCTCCATACTCTAAGGGGCTTCAGTAGAACCATCAAAATGCTTCACACAGATGATCCTCTTTGAGCCTCTCGGAGCACATTTTCAAGCAGTTACATAAAGAAAACACAGCTTTTGAGGCTCAGGGTCTTGGACTTGAATCTTAGCCTCACTGCTTACTATCTGTGTGTCCCTGCAAGTTACTTGACAACCCAAGCCCCAGACATTAATTAAATACACAGTAAATTCACAAACACATGTAAAGCTCTTGAATGGGTCTGGCACATTTGAAGAAGCATCAAGTATTAGCCATTATTATTTGTGGAGTTATGATGGTGGGGGAGATAAGGAAGTGAAGAGTTCAGTGTGGATGGAGCCTGACATTACCTTTATCGCTATCATACTAAGAGCAGATTTTATTATCCTCATTAGGAGAAGGAGGCCCACAGAGGCAAGGGGCTTAGTCAGGGCCACAGAGGGTTGCATGGAGGCAGAATTAGAGCCTGGTTCTCAGCTTTCACCCTTTGGGGATTCTCAGCAGAGCCCACCCCAGGCTGGCTCATGGATGTCAAAGAAGGACATGTGGATTCCAGTCTCCGTTCCAAACCAGCCCCAAACCAGAAGGCCCTGGATCAGCTCCATCAGGAAACTAGGGCCAGGGCCGAGGCATCCCTTTCAGGGCCAACCCAACCTCAGAGCCCTGGACCACGCCCGTCCACTTCCCGCCCCTGCTCAGCCTACCTCCTCACCTCTCATCACCACGAGATTCACTTCCCGCTGCAATGTTCCCTTGGCAAGACTCAGGGTCAGGTTTCCAGAACCAGCATACTGAGACAAAGCCTGGGGCAGGATAAAGCTGAGCGGGGGAAAACTCTTCATCTGGAGTCTGGTGTGGTGAGTATCTTTCAAAGATAGCTTCCCATTCTCCAAGATGAAGGAGATCCAGAGCCGGGAAGAGGGAGTCCCCTCTGCCCGCCACCTCAGCTCCCCGCTCAGGTTTTCATCTTTGAAGTTAAGCGGGAAGGAGAACTCCACCTGCTCCCCTTCTTTTGTATAGACTGTGTTAGAGACCTTCTGGAAAGCTGGAGGCGGGAAGAGAGAGAAGCTGGGTGAGGAGAAAGGAAGATGAGGGTGTACAGGGTAGGGTGGGCATGGGCTGGGGGCGGTAAAGAGATGGAAGGGAGGGACCAGGTGGGTCCAAACCCTTAGGCTGCCACTTCAGGCCCTTAAATTCCCATCTACCTCTCCCATCCTCTCTGGTCTCTCCACCCCAGCACGTTCCCAAGGCAGCACCTCCTCCCCCTAGAAGCCCTCATAGAACAGCCCAGCCACAGGAGACCTCTCCCTTCCCAGGATCCCTGGAGCACAGAGGGCATTTGGCATGCACTACTTAGGTGCATAGTTTATCAGCCTTCGTAAGATAAGAGCAAATGCCTGCCTCGGGCTTACTATATGTCATGCATTACACACATTCATTCTCACGGTAACACTACAAGGTCGGTACTGTCACGGTGAGCCTCATCCCTGAAACCAAGGCACGGAGAGGTTCGGTAACTGGCCCAAGGTCTCGCGGTTAAGTCAGAGCCGGGATTTCCTCGGGACAGATTTCAGCTCCAGGGGGACTGGCCCTAGCTGCCCTCTGTTGGCCTGCAGTGGACCCAGGAGCCGAGCAGTGAGAGCAGAGGGCGGGTCTGTCTGCCACTGAGGCAGAGGGGAAGACTGCAGGGGGGAAAAGCGCCCCTCTTACCCAGCACCAAGATGTTTATGTTGAACACCACTGTCTTCTGGTTCTGGGAGATGGTGCATGTCCAGGTACCGCTCTCCTGCGGCTCCACCCCAGACAGTGAGAGGCTTTGGCCACTGCTCTTGCTTTTATTCCCTGGACCTTTCCATTGCACGGAAGGGCTACTACCAGAGGGGCCCTCCACGGTCAGGGTCAGCTGCTGCCCTTGCAGCAGGCGGATGTTGCTGCTGCCGCCACTGCCGGTGTCCCACTTGGCAGTCACTGTGGAGGAACAGGCCACCCGTGTCACACACATGCTATCCCCAAGGGGAAGGAAGAAGCCAGGACACCAGGAGTGTCTCTCCATTACCCCCCGCCAAGACCCAGCAACCCAGCCCCAGCCCGGGGCAGAGTTATCCTCTCTTCCTCCTGCCGCCTCCCCTTCTCTCTGCTTCTGTTGCTCTCCCTCCTTCCTCGGGCTCCTGCCCTTCTTTCCCCGCCCCCCACCCCCCAGGTTTCTTCCTTTCCCACTGAGCAACCGGAGGCCCGAGGAGGGTTTGAGGAGACGTGGGGGCCCCTCTGAGCCGTCTCGGGACTGTGGAGGGTCCATGAGCTCAGGGCTTGGCTCTGGTGCATGAACGGGAGTCAGAGAGAACGGCAGGTTGGTTGGAGGGATCCTCATCTACTCACAGTTGAACACCAGCAACTCCACCTCTTGCCTCTTGCCCTCTACCTCACAGAAGTAAACCCCTGAGTCTGCTGCTTCAAGATCCTTGATGATCAGAGGAAAGGATCCTTGGTCCCACAGGTTTTTTTTCGATTCGACGCGATGCCTCAGCTTGGAGACACCTGGGAGCAGAAACCATATGGAGGAGGTTGGGGTAGCCTGAAGGCATGGCATCCCTCGGGAGGGCAAAGCCCACAACTCTTCTGATCTCGGTCCCTAACTTCCTGCAGAATCTGCCCCGAGTCAGAAAACCCGAGACTGGTGAGGCCGTCCCATCATACTCACGTAACTGGCCAGGACAATATCTTGTTAATCCGAAATAAAATAATATCCTTATTTCAAGAGCACCAACTCCTACAGGGCCCAATACTTGACACGCATCATCTCAAGTGATCTTCACAACAATTCCAGGAAGTAGGTACTGTTTGGCCTGTTTTGCAGATTATGTAGTTGCCCCGCCTTGTACTTACGCACTGGTGGCAGGAACATAAATGAGTACGATTTCTTTGGAAGGTAATTTACAATATCTACCAGAATTACAAATGCACATACAAAAGTACCTGTCCACCAAGAAAGACTAGGTCAAGTAAATTATAGTTCGCCCCTTCAGTGCAATGCTGTATGAGAAGAAGGAAGCTATCTACTGAATGGAAGAATAGCTAAGAAACATCATTAACTAAACAAAGCAAAATATTAGACAGGCTACCATTTGTCTACAAAGGAGGGAGAAATTTATCTTTATCTATCTCTCTGCAGATGCCGTGTATAGGAACACATGTTTCCAAAAGTAAACAGAAGAACATGGTAACTTGGGTTGCCCCGGGACAAGCGTGGGAGGGGGCTTCTCACGACATACCCTTTCCTACCTTTTGGATTTGACTCCAGTAAGTGGCGGAGTCAGGATTAAAATCCAGGCCTGTTAGGTATACTAGCAACACTGTGTCTGGAAGGTTCCTCAGGCGGGGCCATGTGGCCTCCTCCAGTCTCCTCCCTTTGTACCTAACCACCATCACCAGGAGGAAGTTCTTCTCTTTAGCTAATCACTTTCTGGGTGTGGCGGCAGCCCCAGAATTCCTGTAGAGGGAGGGCTTTAAAGGCTAATCTTACACAGCAAATGCACAATTTTTAGTTAAAATACGTATTTGGAGGGATGAGGCGAAGGTGGCTGAGAGCAAAACCCCACCCTCAAGCCCTTGGGCTCCGCTTCCGTCCCCCCTGAGCAGTCACAGACCCTCTCCCTGTTTTCTCCTCGGTGCGGGAGTCTGGGGGTCATGCTGGCCGAGCATTCTCCCCCACCTCCTGCTGCCCCCACTCCCCAGGCTCATCCTCCGTGGGAGACCTTTCCAGATGAGCTGTGACCCTGGGCTCTCCCTCAGCACTGCCCCAAGGGCCCTGTACTTGACTCTGGGAGTCCCTGCCCTCTGGCTCTTTCCCTGGCTCTGCACTTTGTGTAGCTCCCCTGTGGCTCGGAAATCCTGTTGCATTCTTTTCACAACTTACCAAGCTTCTTAGACTAGTAGCCCCCTCAGGTTCTACCTCCTTTTCTACCTTTTTGGTCCTCTCCTCCTTCGTGAGCACCATTTCCTTTTCTTCATCTTGGGCTCTTGCTCTGAAGACTGCATTTAAGTGTTACCCAGACTCTGTCTCACGGTCTCTTCCCCATTTCCACAGACATTCTAAATCCCAGGGCAACGCGTGTCAGCGCTGTGAATGACTCCCAAATTGATATTCCCGGCCTCAACCTCTCTCCTCAGTTCCGGGCCCACATTTCCAATGGCCCAAGGCATAACTTTATCTGAAAACCCTGCCATCCCCCAAAACTCACCGGGTTGAAAATGAAGTGGGTCACCCTTTTCCTAAAATAACTTCCTCCTTGCTTTCCTTTTCCTCTTCTGGGCCCTGTCACTTGGGCAGGCTGTCACATACTTTGTAGAAGAGATCGCAAGGTGGTACAAGAGGTCTAAGAGTAGGTGTGAGTCTGGGATAAATCGTGGAGAAGACCCGTGTTGCACCAAGCCTTAAAAGAAGAATAGGCAGTGCGCCAGAACGAAGGGGGAGGAATGAACACATCCAGGAAGTGGAAAGGCTCCAGGAGAGCAGTATAAGCAACCACCTCAAAGCAATGAGGAAACCACGAGGGTGTCTAGGTTTCCAGCTGGGAAGCTGGGGGAAGTGATGGCCAGGTGGTGAATGTCCAGCAGAGGCTTCTGGGCCGGGTCCGATGGACTAGAGGTGACATGTACAAGGCATTGCTTTGGAAGTCAGTACCGAAGCAGATGGAAGAGAAATCAAAGTAGGAGGGACCAGGAACAGAGAGAATTGCCCAGAAGCTTCCTCTGTAATCCAGGTGGGGGAGTTCTGTGGTCAGGGCTAATGACAGTGCCATTCTCACAGGAACAAAGAAGATTGTTAAATAACAAAAATTCAACTGAACTGTAGGGATCTAATTGGCCTTATTAATGGATTCATGAATTGGGCAGCATCCTATCTAGCAAGTAAAGGGGAGCTCTGAAGGGCTACAGAGAAGGAAAGTGTTTGGTTGTTTGTTTTAAGGTATTTATTTATTTATTTGAGAGAGAGAGAGGGAGAGCCTGGAGGGGGGAGGGGCAGAGGGAGAAGCAGACTCCCTGCTGAGTGCAGAGCTCAACACAGGGCTGGATCCCAGGACCCTGGGATCATGACCTGAGCCGAAGGCAGATGCTTAAGCTTAACTGACTGAGCCACTCAGGTACCCCAGAAAAGGAAAGGTTATTAAAGGTAGAGAGGAAGTGGAGAAAAGGAAATTATTAGGAAAGACTCCATTGTTTTAAGCAAGATCACCCTCGTAAGGGAACCAGAAGGGGTCCATCAGTAAATTTCCTAGTGCTGACCAGGAAATTCCCATGTTGACTAGTTAAAGGTCACATTTCTGGGGGTTGAAACTGCAGTTAGGTTTTAAGTTAGTAAAGGTATTAAGTCTTGGTTTATTGACTTGGGGCCTTAGCCTAAGTGACACCATTTTTGGCCTGTCACTTTCATTTTAATAAGATGAAACAGAAAAACATTTTCAAAGGAAGGAATGGTCATCATGGATGACTGATGGGAAACCAGGGATTGAAGCAGAGGAAAAAAAAAAATCCTGACTCTGGTTCAGAAACTGGGGGAGTCACGAGAGAGAAACTACCCTCATCAGAGATCAGGAAACTGAGAAAGCAAGCTGTTCTGGAGGAAAGTCAAATCCTAAAACAGAACAAAAGCGCTGATACAAAAGAGAATTTTTAGAAAGGAGCACATTGGGAGCACATTGGGGGCACCTGGGTGGCTCGGTCGTTAAACGTCTGCCTTCGGCTCAGGTCATGATCCCAGGGGCCTGGGATCGAGCCCCACATCGGGCTCCCTGCTCAGCGGGGAGCCTGCTTCTCCCTCTCCCACTCCCCCTGCTTGTGTTCCCTCTCTCGCTGCGTCTCTCTCTGTCAAATAAATAAATAAAATCTTAAAAAAAAAAAGAAAGGAGCACATTGTTTCAACCTCACAGGCAATCAAAAAAATGCAAATTAAAAAAAAGATATATTTTTCAACTATCAAATTAGCTAAAAAAAGAAAAAGAAAGAAGGAAAGAGAAGTGTTAAATAATGCTATTCAGTGCCGGTAAGGGTACTACTAGTGGAAAAGGCACCGTCAGCTAGACTTAGTGTAAACGGATGGAACCTTTCTGGAAGCAGTCTTGCAGCATATACTATCTATTATTTAAAGTTTATGTCCTTAATTTCATTTCTAGAATGTTATCCTTAATACAATAATTTAAAAATGCAAACCAAAATGTAGATACAAAAATAATAGTGTTGTTAATAGGGTACAACATTAGACAAAAAGATAATGTCTGTATATTACAGTACATTAATTTGATGGAATATTAGGTTGGCACCAAAATAACCCAAATAATTTTGTTTTCTTTCTTCCTATTTAACCCATCCCCCTACCCACCACCCCTCTGGTAACCATCAGTTTGTTCTCTATAATTAAGAGTCTGTTTCTTGATTTGTCTTTCTTATTTTTTCCCCTTTGCTGGTTTGTTTTGCTTCCTAAATTCCACCTATGAGTGAATTCATGTGGTCTTTGTATTTCTCTAACTGATTTATTTCGCTTAACATTATACTCTGTAGCTCCATCCATGTTGTTGCAAATGGCCAGATTTCATTCTTTTTTATGGCTGAATAATATTCCAGTGTGTGTGTGTGTGTGTGTGTGTGTGTGTGTGTGTGTGTGTTTACACCACATCCTCTTTACACCACATCATCTATGGGTGGACACTTGGGCTGCTTCCATATCTTGGCTACTGTAAATAATGCTGCTATATACATAGGGGTGTGAGTAAATACCTAGGAGAGCAATTCCTGGGCCATAGGGTAGTTCATTTTTAATTTTTTGAGAAACCTCCATACTGTTTTCCCCAGTGTCTGCACCAGTTGCATTCCCACTAACAGTGCAAGAGGGTTCCTTTTCCTCCACATCCTCACCAACACTGGTTGTTTCTTGTGTTTTTGATGTTTGACTTAGCCATTCTGACAGGTATGAGGTGATAACACATTGTAGTTTTGATTTGCATTGATTTGCATTTCCCTGATGATGAGTGATGTCGAGCATCTTTTCATATGCCTGTTGGCATATCTGTATATCTTCTTCAGAGAAATGTCTGTTCACGTCTTTTGTCCCTTTTTAGAAAGAATTATCTGTGTTTTGGGTGTTCAGTTCTATCAGTTCTTTATATATTTTAGATACTAACCCTTAATCGGATATGTCATTTGCAAATACCTTCTCCCATTCGGTAGGTTGCCTTTTAGTTTTGTTGATTGTTTCCTTCACTGTGCAGAAACTTTTTATTTTGATGTAGTCCCAATGGTTTAATTTTGTTTTTATTTCCCTTGCCCCAGGAGACATTTTTGAAAGAATTTGCTACAGCTGATGTCAAAGAAGTTACTGCCTGTGCTCTCTTCTAGGATTTTTATGGTTTCAGGTCTCACATTTAGGTCTTCAAGCCATTTTGAGTTTACTTTTGTGTATGGTACAAGAAAGTGGTCCAGTGTCATTCTTCTGCATGTTGCTGTCCAGTTTACCAGCACCGTTTTTTGAAGAGACTTTTTCC